TCTCTTGTTATTCTTCTGTTTGTGACAATGTCGACACACCCCCGCCTCTCCCCACCACCTCCACACGATCCTGTGCTCTAAGAAGGTTGAAAATCGATAAAACAAACTCAACCCCCCACACACAACGGAAAAGAGAACAGGTGGGGAAGACATAAGACAAACAAGAAAAAGCAGGGGGGGGGGGGGGGGGGGGGGGGGGGGTTGGCAGAAAATGTGCAGAGGTAAGAAATTAATGCTCTGTAGAGTCACAATAAAGCTGTTCAAAGCACCCACTCCTTTTCAAAATCATGGTTTCTTATAAGGCCCATCCTTTCTCTGTTAACCCTGACCCCCACTTCTTGTGGTCAGAAACAACTTGATGGTTAGATGCTTTCTTGGAGTATATCATCTTTCAGCAAGGACACATGGGCTTAAATATAAAGAGGATTACATAATTATATAATAGGGGGAAACATAATGAAGCTGTGACTGTATAGAAAATAAGTCGGGAAACCAAGTGCAGTTCACTTGGAAATAAGCTGAATAAAGCCGAGTAAGCTTGTTGAATGAGAATCTCAATGTTTTAGTGAAACCAGTTACCATATTTTTTTCACAACAGACCTCAAACTTAAGTTTATTTAACTCATCTTTACACCTTGTTTTCTTGAAAGCCAAAAAATTTAAATAATAGGTATTAGTTACGAGGAGAAATGAAGCTTTTATGGATCCTGAGCAAGTTTGTTCCCCAGTATTTTAGAAGCCTAGCAGCTAACTGTAGCTTAGAGTGATATACGGTGGTGTCTCCTTTCATACCTTTGACTATATTATTTTTGTGAAATGACATACATTTACAACTAGTAGATGCCACGATTGTGTCTTTAAAGTAAATTGTTACATGTTTTGCAATTATATTCTAATGCAAAATGCTGAATCAACCCAACATGATCTGCAATGCAACTATCCTTTTTTTGTTATCCACGCTTGTCATCCCAAAATGAAAATGCTACACATTAGCAGCAGAGACTCTTGACTGTCTTCACACCTTCACTAAATTTCTACTGGCGAGAAACCAGGCTAGTATGTGCATCTTTTTTAGGTGCAATATTACTGTTGAATATTATTTGGAAGCCTCTTATTACATTGAAAGACAGCTTGTACCATACTGGCTCAACATTTGGGGTGTATATATAGTGAACCAGTATTTTCCTTTCTAGACTTTGCATCTTACAGTCAAGACAGGTCAAGTGTACCACTCCTCCCCCCAAGGTTCTATTCAAAAATAAATTTTGGAAAAATGAATCCATTTGTTGTTGCCACAACTGGTATATAATTAATATCTGCATTCCTGCATATGTAATGAGAAATCTTTGAATGGCTAATATTGCTTTGAAGATATTTACATGAAATTCAAGAAAACTGAGCTTGTAGAAATCTGATAACTACCATGCCTGTGAATTCACCACTCAATACACACACAGCAATGCAAAGATGAATCTGAAATCTACTACTACTAATGCAATTCAACTTTTTAAACAATGAATTCATTAAATGGAATCTTCGAGGGTATGTTTGACCTGGCTTGACTGGAAGGGATCCATCAGTTCATAGACCAATGTAGACAAAAATAACAATGAAGAACTAAACTGAACAATTTTTACAAAAATATAAACATTACAAGCTTATGGATCATTCAAAAAAGTGAACACTACACGCTTATTCACTTTTAGAGATTTCTTTTGTTATAGCAATTTGCTTTTTCACCCATTCATCATAATCAAAAGATTCCTCTATTATAGACTGTGAAAAACATTCATCATTGCTTTTGACCACACTTGCCTCTGCTTCTGCGCTGCTTGTTTTAGGACCAGGGCTTTCCACTGGAGAATCATCTTGACCCAATAGTGGTAACAGTTTAAGTTTCAGCTACACTTTTAAGAGATTCCCTGAACTTCTTGCCAGGTTCTTTGTGCACCTGGTTGGTATACTTAATTAAGTCTCTTCTTGGAGGGATGGTCATGTTCATTTAGGCGAGTCTTAAAACTTCTATGAGAATGGTTGGGGTGTGTCTGGTGTGGTTTCTGATGATACCCTCCCATGGGTGAATAATGATATTGTGGGGAAAAGGCAGATGACAAATTAGGTCTGCTGTAATTGACATTTTGAAAGGGAGAATGCCACCTTGGGCTTTGTGGACGTAGATTTGAAGTTGTGTGCTGCATGTATGGTGGCCGACAATGGGACACAGGACTTGGGGTTCGATGGTGCATGTATATATGGTGGTGGACTTTGAGTTTCACAGTATGGTGGTGAATGAGGCATGCTAAATGGTGCCCATTGGTTGTTGATTGTTATTGGCGATTTACATTGGTTCAAATTCTGTTTCTGGTACACAGTGCGATTATAATCATGTGAAACATGATTCTGCACAGACTTCACCCTACTTGCCTTATTTCTATAATTCTCAATTATCTGCTCTAAATCTGCAGTGGCTGATGGAACCCTATGATTACACGCAGTAGCTAAAATTCTTAGATCATTGTCTAGTGTTGTTCTGTTGGAATACTTGATGGGATTGTGACACTGCAGCTTTTTCCTAGTGTTTGCAAAAAAGTTGGTTCTTGTCCTTTCCCTAGCAAAAAAAAAGGACAAGAATCTGAATTTATGATGGAAAGACAACAATAATTTACATACATATATATTATACATGGTCACAACAAACATTAAATTTCAAACTTTTGTCTTTTCCCTGACAAATGTGAAATTTCCCTGAACAAAATGGAAAACCTCCCCTTACAGCCACACCTCTTACCTGTTTTTCTGTGATCGATAAGTTTTCATTGAGTCAGGTTAGTGTGGACAAAAAGTATTAAAAGCCGAACGATGCAATACTAAAATTACTGGTGTAGTTTTCCTGTCCTCTCTCCAAATTACAATTTTCAACCAACAATGTTTCTAGTGTGTTAGTGTCTCTGTACAAGTTCAGCCTTTTCAGTCACCTTTTGATAACCTTACATTATATAACAATTTCCAAACATAAAACATTGGATGCTCCAAAAAAACACACACACACACACTCTTTTGTGCAATATTGAATAATGATGACATACTTGAGCAATTTGTAGTTTTCCATTTCATCCATATTTCTCTTCAGCTGTTTTTGGATTTCTTTCACTTCAGCTTCAGCCTGGATTAAACAATAATAAGTGTCACCAGTAAATGCACAGAAACCATAATCATGTGCAGTGTAGACATTTTAAAGATCACTTTATGGCACCAATAACCACACCTCAGAAGAGTGCATCTTTCAAGGATACAGGGTGGGGGTGGAGGCTACTCACGGGACATCCCTTCAAGGTTGTGAAGGCTATGCCATCGGTTATTTTGAATATTCAATGCGCCCCATTGTTTTGAAATAAACAATGATACCTTTCCTAATTTGATATGTTAAAATCTTTTGCTAATATATATGCCATAACAAATAGTTTTGCATTTTTTCTTGGGAAAGTCAATTTATATGAGCAATAGAAAACTTTTTTCCTGTATTTGCATAGCCTGCTATAAGCACCAGAGGGATTGGGGTTGGGAGAATTCAAGAAAGTTATGCAAACCCGAGACGATGCAAACTGTCGAGAATTCCCTACTCCTCTCGTGCTTAAATTAGGCCGTGCAAACACGGAAAACACTTTCTGTTGCTTAAAAATTTAGTCTATCAACTAACCTGTTTTAAGTGATCTCTGTCTTCCCGGTGTAATGAGAGCTGGCCACATTCATAGTACCCACGACAGGGATGCAACATGCAGTTATTAACACGGTGTCCTTTGTAATGGCAACTGCTGCAGGTAAAATTAGTGTGTTTCCCTGCAAGACCTCTTTCCCTTGGGGCGACTTTCAGCGACTCCAGGGTGGCCTGTGCTATACTGAGGTTATAATCAAGACCAGTTCTCTCTTCTTGCAGGTTCTGGATTAATTGTTCTACACCATGATCATGGCTATCCAGACTAGCGGTAGATGTTTCACCTGCCATGGATGTTTGGATGTTGTCTATTGTCACTACTTTGATTTTATCTCGGTCTCTTATTTGAGCGATGTCGATGTCGACAAGGCCCTCCCATTCTGGATCAAAACGCTGCAATGATACGATGCAACGTGCGGAAGAGACTAGACGAGTTTGAAAACCCGTTCGACCAAGGAGACTTTATCACTGTCATCGCTTTTGACAGAACACACCTTTTTTAGCCCTTTATAATCTAACAAAATTGTTCTTTCCCTGGAATCCTGAAAATGAAAAATGTGTAGGACTTGGCTTAAGCTTTATGTAAACACAACAAATAGCACTAGTCACCAAAACTTCGCCTGAAATCTCTCTTATACGAATAAGAATTTCTACAAGTCCTATGCGATGTAGAAGCCCAAAAAAGTTCTCAATGATAGCATTTGAAACAGGTTTCCCACATCACCTGATCGAACTCACCTTTCCCGCCATGTTCAACGCCATGTTGAAAAAGTCTCCTGCTTCGACTTCCCATATAAGGAAGATCCCTTGTTCGCAAAGTCCAATCAGCAATCGAAGTTTGATTCGAACATTTCAAAAATGAGTACATTATTTGAAACGACTAACGGGTTGAATTTAGGAATAATCGATCCATTAATATAATCTAGGGGGATGCGCTTGACCTGGTTTGACTGTAAGAATCAAAGTAATAAACTTCAACGAATTAGAATAGTACAAGAATCTTGTCCATTCCACATTGAAGAGACTAGAAGAAACCTCAGGAGTTGTTTCAGCGAACAAAAAAACAACAATATTAAAGGTATTGCTGTCAACGAATATAGCCTTTGAGGATCAAGATTCTATAAGTAAACACCTAACAGGTTAGCAGTGGTAACCAACATATGTCTGAGAGATTCTATGAAATATGTAGAGATGTAAGTATAAATTATTAAAAAGAAAAAGCTTGTCCTGTGACTTAGCAGTTGTTTTGTAGGAAATTCCTCACAATAGTTGTTAAGCTAAAAAAGCGCGTCTTTTAGTTTTCAATAGACAACTACTTTGCAATAGCCATTACAACCTGTGAAACCCACAGCAATGTGTTCCTTCATGGTCACCGTAATTCCTTTAAATTGAAGTTTAGGTTCATCACGCAGCAGAATTCTTCGCACAAAATTTCCGTCCACAGTGTATATCTCTACTACTATCATCCCATTTTCACCATCATAACCAGCGATGACAACATGTTCGCCTGCAGAGCGAGGTGAAAAGTGCATGAAGTCTAAACCAAATCCAACACCAGATTTGAATTTTGCAATCTTCTGTCCTTCCACTGTGAATACGTAAACAGAAAAGAAGTCGCTGTAGTCTCCTTTATTGTGCATTATCAAGATAGGGCCATCGTGAGTAGCAGTGCAATCGGTCAAGACTCTGTCGCCTCCACTCTTGAAAAACTCAAAACTACGAACAAAATCACCATTCTGATTGTACACATCAGCCTCCCATGATGATAATATTAGTAATTTGCTGCCACTTACTAGCAGTCTGTTCATGAGTGCGTATCTTACAGGAAACTTATACTCCAGGTTAGCGTTCTTGTTAAAAACCTGCACTTCTTCATCCCATCCCTTAGGCCATGGCCTCTTCAGTCTGACCAGTAGATAAATGTTCTCGCTTACGTCTTCAGTGACGAGATCATAAATTTTTTGAATCTCTGTTTTAGCATCGTCAGTTTGGGGATTAAAACTAAACTGAAACATACCACTGTTATCATAAACATGCACGGTTCTCCAACTATCTGCAATCAGAAACTGCCCCAGGGTGTTCGTAGCCATTCTCCAGAATAAAGGCATAAGTCCCAAATCAAACGACCACCCTGTAATGCAGTAGTGCGCCATTTTAACACTCTCCAAAACTTGCAATACTCTTACATCGCGCAGAGGGTCAACTTGATCTTCTCCGATGTCAACATATGGCCACTTCAAGACAGGTACGTTTACAGCTTTATCAGCCGTTTGCATGGCATCGTAGATGGCGCGATTTACCTGACACACAGTTGAAATTATCTGGATCCGTTCATCTTTACCAAACCGAACTCTGATGTTTAGGCGACCTTTATTGAGCTCCACTCTAAAGCTGTTCTGAACAGCAGGTAACGAATTGAGTTTCTTCAGGCACTGTTCGCACTGTGGTAAGGCTTTCTGCAAAGTGCTTTTCAAGTCGCCCGCGGTTCTCACTGTCTCAGCTGCTGACTTCAACATTGCCGCCATAACACGGTATCGAATGGCTGTGATTCGGTCAAAGGTGCTGAGAGCTTCATTGTTGCAGGCGTGTGTTGTGTATTCAACAGCTAATTTGAAACTCTCTTCTGCGTCAGAAAGCAGACTTCTCGTTGTTTCATTCAACTCAGTTAGTTGCATGTTTCTTACTCCATCCGCGAGGACTATTGCCTTTTCAGGGTCAGTGTCCGAGGGCAAAGTTATTTCTTCAACCTTCTCTTCTTCATTTCTTTCAGATACCTTCGCTGCTCCCAAACTGACATTAGAGCTGCGCATTGTATCGACTGCCTTGTATAGACATGCGAGTCCTGTTTCAAAGAAGTCTACAGCTGACTTAAGATCCCTTTGTAATAATGCATCCAACTTGTTGTGGATCTCGTTCAAATCACGCACGATCAGGTTGCGAAGTTTCTGATCAGCCACGTCACCTTCTTTCAGCCTCTCCGCTGCTTCGTCTCTTCCTTTATTCACAATCAAACCGATAGTGGCTTTAAATACAGCTGATATTATTGCAGACATGATTCTCATTAATTGAAAGTGAATATCCTTAAATCAATGTTCTGTTACTTCTCGTGTTTTTACCCAGTTTGCGTTTAACAGGGATTTAATCTCAGATCACGTGATCTTATCTAAAATCAATGGTTGTTTACCATGTATTGAAAAAAATTCCGGAAATTTTGGTTGGGTATTTCAGTTCGGTAAGAATAGATCGTTTTCACGGTGACGTCATCAAATTGGGAAGTCAAAATAACGAGGTTTTACGAATTCTTATTTACGCTGGGTTGAAGATAAACAAAAAATAAATCTTTGTACAAGTTTCCAGTCCCGTAGCATGTTTCATTTCGGAAATACAGCAATTTGAGCTTCCGAGTTTTCACAGTGCGTGACAAAAAAAATAGGAATGCTGTCTCGTGAAAAAAAGTCTCTCTTCCTCTTCAGCAGTTTAACTTTTTCAAGTGTTAGGAGATGTGTTTATGGGCATGTATGCTAGCTTTCGAGTGAAAAGAAAGAACTTCGACGGAAAAAGTGAACCCCACATGTTTTTGTTGGATGACGGGGATGCTCTCATGGAGGAAAAAATTGCAGATTTTGGTCTCATTCAGCGTGTTCAGGACGGAAAGCCAATGGTAGTCTAAGAAATATTTCAAGACAAGTAAATTTTAATTACTTCAAGTAAAATAAAGCTTCACAAACAACCAATTCTTGTTTACTTCAGGTTAACTTTAATAAGGCAATTTTCTCACGCAACATAAT